TATTTTTATCTGATGCTACATTTATAAACCTCTAGGGAAGATCATCTATTTTGTGGTTACTGCTACATTTTGTTTTTGAAGAGATTAATTTGAAAACATTGAAATAAAATGGTGTTTTCACAAGGGTATTCGGTTTCAGTATGTCTGAGTTGAGACTTGAGCATATCTCACTTTTAAAATATGTGCAAGTGACTCTGATGTATTCAAATGTCTGAAAATCACTGAATTCGGCAATCATCTACACGGAGATACCACTACATAATAAATGTTCAAGATTAACTTCTGAGGTTTGAGTAAGTATAAAATCTTACATTGGGTTAAATGTCTGGTATGTCATTCTAATGATTTATGTAATGGGAACAACTGCTGGAGTTGTGCATCAAACAATCTATGTAAAGTTTCAACCTGTGCACATTAAAAATATCCTGAATATTAGTAATATGAATATTTATTGCCATGGAAAGATGGAATTATTAATTGATAAAAGCAGATTACAGAACAATTGTAGAAACAATTTGGAATATATATATGGTATATGTATATATATACTACATATACCATATATATATGTACATATATATATGTACATATATATATAATCATATACACCAAATTGTTAATATTAGTAATGTCTGGCTGGCAGAAATTAGGCTGTTTTGTTTTCTTATATTTCACTTTCCTGTATGTGTAACTTTCCACAATGGACATAAAAATTTCCATGTAAAACTGTAATAATCAAATAATATAGGTATCAGGTAATATGCTAGATGCTGGAGATAGAACAATCAGTAACATAAGGTCAGGTTTAGAGAAGTTAAGCAACACACTGATGACTACTCAGTAAGTAAATAATAGAGCTAGGTTTTCTTATTCTAAAATAATATTTATTCCGTTTCATCTTGGTGTCCCAGATCCAGTATCAGCTGTTTATAAAACTGTTAAGTAATCAAAGTTTCTGCTGCCTACCCACATTTTTCCATGCTATGAATTGCCATTATCACTGCCATGGGGCATGTTTCAGTATATTCTTCATCCATCTTTCTAATCCTTATTACATTCCCTAATGTTCTGCTCAACTCATCTGATAAAGTAATTGATTTCAAGGAGTTATTAGTCATTGAACTGGACTTCCCAGTGCCTTATGTATGCAGCCTATTGTGCTAGGTGTCAGGATGACAGTTCACATTCAAATGGGGGAGGGGATTAGATATTCCCATAGTTAACTGCATTACAGTTTGATAAATGCTGTAATAAAAATAATAACGCCCGGCTGGTATAGCATCAACCCAGAAAGCAAGAAGCTGCTGATTCAATTCCTGGTCAGGGCACATGCCGGGGTTGCAGGCTTTATCCCCTTTGGGGGGCGTGCAGGAGGCAGTTGATCAATCGATGATGTTTCTCTCTCATTGATGTTTCTATTCTCTATCCCCCTCCCTTTCTCTCTCTCTAAAAAAGCAATAATAATAAAAAAAATATAACAAAACATTCACTATAGAAACATGAAAAAGTAAAGTGCTTATTCTGTCTGGGATGTCACTGAGAGTTTAAAAAGAAAAAGGTGGTAGAGGGAAGTCAATACCATTGTCTATGCAAAAATCACATAGCAGTTAAAGAGCCCTCCTTGAGGATGAGTCTGACTTTCATGGCAACCCCCTGTAACCACATGGCCACACTCCAATGTAGATGTCTCTGGATTTGCAGCAGGCCAGAAGTGCTAAATACTTTTAGGCAGGCCTTTGAGCACATCTTAAAATAACATCCCTTAAAGCAAACACCTGTGATCTATGTAGCCTTTTGTTCACATTAGTACATGTTGTTCTCACTGAATTGCATCCTGGAGCAGCTCACATAGCGGCTTATTTAATGTATTTAGGTTACCCAAGACTTGCAGAGATTAGGAAGCTGTCAGTAAAACATCTGGAAAGGCTTTGTGAATTGCTTTCTAAAATCACTCTAAATTAGCAACTAATGGAAAATTTTGACAACTTGCTCAACACTGAGTGCAGCCAGATACAAGTCAACCTCTAGAGGATTCTATTTTGTTTATCATCAATGCTAGAGTATATTTAACAGATGAATTTTTTCCAGAGGAGTCATCTCAATTTATTTCAGTGGACATCCTTGATTAGTAAATTCTTTCTTCCCTCTTTGGAAAAAAAAACACACAAAAAACAGAAATGAATCCAAAGAGTAAAGGGGAGTAACATAAACTTTTGAGTCAGCAATATACTTGGGGAGGAATATGCGAATCTGTAGTTAGAGATAGAGGCAACTAACATTTTTTTATGCATAGTTATAAGCAACTAAGCTTTTTCAGGCAACAGTGATAGATAATTTATACCTAAAGATATGCTTTCCCTTGTGTATTTTAAGTGAATTTTATTTATGGGTTTCCTAGAGTGCTGGCAAGGTTACATTTTCAATTATTTCACACTCACAGGTTACACAATTCATTGTACTTCTGTAGCTCACTTTATCTCTGAACTAGAAAATATTTCAAAATAATTAAGTTTCTACATAATACAAATACATACATATTTATGCTACTTAGTTTTTTTTAAAGGTAAAGCATGTGATTTGGCATTAAAAAGTTATACCCTAAATTATGAGAAATTTAAGAGTGAGTCAGTAATGAAGGGCCAAGCCAGAGAACAAATTAGAGTAGAGATATTCACTTTTATGTGGAATCTAAACTGACGAACAAAATAGAAGCAAAAGAAGCAAAAGCATGGATACAAGAACAGACTGACAGCTGTTGAAGGGGAGAGAGAATTAGATGAAAGAAGGTGAAGAGATTAGCCAAAGAACATATATGCAAAACCCGTAGACACAGACTACTGTGTGGTGTTGTGAGAGGGAAGGGGGTGGGGGCTTGGTGGAGGTGGGCAAAGGGGGGGATGGGGACATCTGTAATAGTGTCAACAATAAAAGTAAAGTTAAAAAAACTAATTTATGAAAAAAAACATTTAAAAGAAATCTTCAAATCTAAGTATTTGCAAGTGAAAATATTAAATTCCAGTGCCATTATAATTTATACATGTTCCTTTATCTTCTGGTATCACAAATGGGGGAGTTTATAAACACTATGGCCAGACCTGGAAATAAATTAGGGCAAATTTTAAGAAAACAAAAAAAGAGGGGGAGCACAACATAAAAGTTAATTTTATTTATTTATTTATTTATATATGTATTTATGCACTTACTTTTTTAATAGCCTTGAACTTTAAATCTCCAGAGAAAAAACACATTTGTTCAGTAAATATTTACTGATGGCCAATGATTTGCTAGACATTAGTGGAGAAATGAGAGAATATAAAGATGACAGTTATAGTCTCTGCTCTCAAGACATATGCAACTGAGTTGGAGACACATACATGCACACAAATACTTCTCACTGCTAATATAACAACTATATAAACTTGTTCAAACAATCTCTGTAAACAAAAGCTTTTTTTCTGTATTTCTAAACTCACTTTCAGTACAGATCATTATATTACTTGGTTCAGATTTGCAACTGAACAGCATGTAGTACATCGACACCAAGGCAGCATCTGAGTGTCAAAACTTTTAAGAAAAAACAGACACCACAATACTAATCCAAGGTCAGCAAAACCTGGCCAGGTTTGAGGAAGGTCCAATCTCCCTTCTCACTTCCAGTATTTTCTCAAAGAGAGCACTACAACCTGATTTCCTAACAATCCACAATTTGTATTTATCTGAGCCCCAAAGTACTTTTCTTCAATGTAATTCCACTTATATTTAATCACCAGCTCAAGTTCTTGAAACAAATGTCTTGTGCCCTTGAAAACCGTATGTTATTACATGAGGGTTATAACATCACTACTTTTTACCAATATATTTATTCTACTTTACATAAGAATCTTTGAAATTCACAAAATAACAGCAATTTGGACTTCACAAATTAAGAATATTTTCAAAAGGAGTAGGGATTAAGCTTCTATTTCTTCTTTGAATTTTTTTCTTGTGACTTAACTGCTAAACATGATTGGAAAATTTAAAGTATGCTTGAATATAATATTTGGTATTAAAAATAGCAACAGAAAAATTATCCAGTCTATAACCTGGATCAGTATACATTCTTCCCAGTGTACAATTTTACACTTACAATCCCTGCTTTGAATGATGGCACTGAAAGTCTATGCAAGTTCCTTAAACAACAAACATTCAAATATATTCACAATTTTTGACAGTACTAAGGCAAGAAGTGAAAAAATACACTGTCATTTATCTATTTTACAACAGGTCATAAAAACTTAAGTAAGGGTTGAAGAAAAAAAAAAGATTGATTAGGTTTTTAGCTTAATTCTTTAAATTCAATCAGCAAAACCCTTGCATTCCTGAAATGTTCTGACCAATTCAGATTTTGCTACAAAAACAAGATTGTAGGACAGTTCTTTTTTTCAAAGAGAATAAACTTTGTTAAAAAGCACGTTTAGCACCAACTTACAAACTATAAACACTAAGACTACAATTTGCAAATGGAATGTTTCCAAAAGTTGATAATGAAGAACTTGGAATGTAGTTTCCAATTGGAAAAGTGCTATAAAACTATGGCTAGCTTTCCAGAACAGATGTACCAACCCAGTTAAAAATGTTCTTAATATTACAGTCTATTTGAAATGAAAAAATAACCAGAAACAGTATTAATGTAATAGTAATAACAAAGAAAAAGACACACAATTGTAAAACTGACTACATGGCATTAGAGAGAATTTATAAATAACTTAAAGAGAGGACACAGCTAAGAATTTGCCCAAAATCTTGGTATAAGAATTAAAAATGATTGTGTTAAATGGTTGTTGAAAAGTATTAAAGCCAAGTTTTGATTGCCTGAAGGACAGCTCTCTCTCTCTCTCTCCCCCACCCCTCTCTGCTTAATATACACTAAGCACAGGTAAGTTGGGCAGTTCCAAGTGGAGGACAAAAGCCACATATAGTTAATAGCACAAACAGCCTGACAAAGGAAAATGAGAGGGAAAATCTGGGCACTTGGAGAACACAGTGGCCACCCTTAGCTCCAGAGGCCTGCATAGTTCCCGTGGAGGCCTGAAGGGAGAGGCCCCCCAGCCACAAAGAGCTTCAGCTCAGGCCAGTTGTAGCAGTGGGTGTAGAGAGCGTTGGGGAACTCATTCATGCCACCGAAGTAGTTCACCCACAAGTCATTGTGATTGAGCCAGCCTCTGCCACACGTGAGCCTGAGCTTCCTCCCTGAGGGCTCTGGGGAGGAGTCCAGGTTGGGCGATGTCCTCTCCTCCAGGAACTTCTGGGCACGGATGTCATAGAAGAGCAGGGAGCCATGGCCTGTACCCACGGTGACGATGTGCTGGTAGAAGCTCAAGGAACGCACACCAGTGCCGCCCTCTCGGGAACACAGGGGCCTGATATTCTGCTGGCGCTGGCGTGGATCCACAAAGGAGACGTGGGACTGGGAGCCCACCGCATAGAGGGACAACTCCTCGCAGTAGGTCAGGCACACGTTCTCTCTGCAGTAGGGCAGCCTGATGGTCAGCATCCTGGACAGGGTGCTGCGGGCTTTCCACAGGTGGAAGTAGCCGTCTAGGGACACTGCTCCCAGCTCCTGGTTCTTGTGATTAAAGGCCAGGGCCCGCACCTTTCGGTTACTGGGGTTGGTGCTGGACCTGGGGATTGTCTCCATGTCCCTGGGACGGATGTGGGCGTACACGGGGAGCTGTTCGTCACTGTGCCAGGCTTTGCTGCCATTGACCATGTCAGGATCCATTCTCCACAAAGCCACAGTGCCATCGCGGGACCCGCTCACAGCCACAGTGTCGCTCATCCAGGCGATGGCGAAGATCCAGTCCCTGTGGCCGTGGCGGTCGCCCAGGCACACGGGGTCCAGGGTGGGCAGCTGGTAGACAGCCAGGCTGTTGGGGTTCTCGCCCCCGGTGGCCAGAAGCGTCTTGGAGGGATTCAGCTCGATGGCGTGGATGCCACAGCTTGGCTGGGCCCGAGGCGGCTCGGGTTTCCGATTCCGCAAGAGCGGGATGCGCGTGATCTGGCCCGACTGCACATCCACCACGAAGAGCGTGTTGCACTTGGTGCCGCACACCACCTGCCTGGCGTTCAGCCACTGCGACGCGAACACCTTGTTGAGGGTGCCCAGGGCCAGCTCGCGCTCCCGCAGCAGCTCGGGCAGCTTGTGCACCGCGTAGCC